TTAGCAACAATGTACTCTTCTACACATCTTAGAACTCTCAAGTAATTATAAAACAAAAACCGAAACCAGTAGACTCCCCAGCATGAGACTCCTGAAATATAAGGTAGTTTCTCCAACACTCATTGTTCTTCCCCTCACCCCAAAACTGTTTTACTGTGAATAGAGTACATGATCAGTTTCACATTCAGGAAATCAAACCATACACTTTATTTCACCTCAAGCACTGCATTACCCTAACTGCAACAACACTTATCTATCATATTTCCTCCACATGTTTGTTTCTAATCCTCCTCCTTTCCCAACCATGCTGAACTTTGTCCTTGGGTAAATGCTGTCCTTTTGATTTTGAAGGGTGTACACCGCACTAGTGTTGTTGTCCCCTCTAGGGACCTATCTACTGCTTGGTTGAAGACTGAGCCATGAGGGTGAGGAGTTCAGTGCCAGACCTGAAGGTTGACTAAGGGCCATAGTCATTCAACATTCATTCTTTAGAACTTGTAATTCCTTTTCTAAGAACCAGCCAGGTGAACATTACAAGGCACCAAACAGAAGAGAAATATAAATAAAGCTATCAACTGGGAAATTCCACAGCTTCTTTCACAGTTCACCTAAGTGTCAGAAAGTTCTTTTTATCATCAATCTTTTTTTATGAAAATAAGTGTGGATAAGTGCAGTACTGCATAGTAGGTTTAAACAACAAGGTCAGCAGTTCAAACTCACCAGTCGCTCCTCAGAAACCCATACTGGGTTGCTATGAGTCGGAACTGACTCAACAGCACTTAACAATAACAAAGTGTTTTTATGAACATGGGCTCTGGCAGCAGACAATCTTGGTTAGATTCCCAAGTCTACCACTTTTAATTCTAGGACCTTAAGCAAGTTGTCTAGGAGTCCGGTTGTGAAATTGTAGGATAATGAATGGGACCACAAGGTTGGTTTGGCAGTTCAAACTCACCAGCCACTCCTTGGAAACCCTATATAGGGTGTCACCATGAGTTGGAACTTACTCAAAGACACTTCACAACAACAAGCAAATTGCCTAGACTCCTGATGTGTCTCTGGAAGACTAGCACTGGACTGCCAACCATAAGGTCAGCAGTACAAACCCACCAGCTCCTCCTTGGAAATCCTATAAAGGGTCTCTATGAATCGGAACCAATTTGTTGCCTAATGTTTCTTTGCCCCTGTAAAATAGGGAGCTTACATTCTGTGGAGCTGTAGGATAAGCACTTGACAGCAAGGCTGGTTAAACTGTAAGGCTGGTGGTTCAAACTCACCAACTGATCCTTAGAGTAGGGAGGCCATGAGTCAGAACCTACTTGAAGAAGACACTTAACAAAAACAACACTATTTACCTCATTAGGTTACTGTGAAATCAACTGAGTGAAGATTAAATCAACTGACTCATGTAAAACACTTAGAATCTAACTTTTCAAAAGTCAGGAAATGTTAGCTACTATAAATTAATCTGTAGAGATGGAGTTAGTTTCTTTTCTATCACTCCAAAACAAAATAAAATGGTACATAAGGGCAAAGGACTTTGTTTATTTCATACCTTATCCCCTTCACCTAGAAGTCTCCAGCACAAGGTGTTGTGGTTAAGTGCGTGGAGTTGATTCTGACCCACAGCCACCCTGTACAAGGTTTCCAGGGAGCAGCTGGTGAGCCTGACTGGCACAAAGTAGGTATTCAAAAAATATTTATTTAATACACAACCATAGCACAAACCTTTCTTTTCTAAGACATTAATGGCCACTATTCAAAGTCCTAATGAACAGGGTCTGTAGTGTCACAATGGTTAAGCACTGAGCTGCTAACTAAAAGGCTGATGGTTCAAACCCACACAGCTGCTTTGTGGGAGAATGACCTGCTCCTGTAGAGTAGAGCCTAGAAAACTCTATGGTATAATTCTGTCATGTGGGGTTCTATGAGTTGAAATCGACTTGACATGACCTAACAGCAACAACAAAAACAATTCAAAGTCCTAAAGTTGTAAAGACTTATTAGCTTAGTTAAGTGAGGAACAGTTAACAGGGAAAGGAAAAAAAAAACTTCACTGGAAAAAATGATGTCAATCTTTTCTTTAAAAAGACCAACAAATCAGTAACAAAACCCTTAAATGTCTTAACTTGCCTGGCTCTGGCGCATACAGTTGTGTGACCTAGAGAAAAATCATTCCACTTAACCTCAGTTTTCCTTTTATCAGAGAAAAAGAACAATTACTTCAAAGGATTCTTGAAACATTTAAAAACAACAACAACCATACATGACAACATCTAGGACAAAGTTCATACTCTACTTAATCTAAACATCACCTAATGCAATCTCTGGTTTTTCTAGTTCGAACAGTACCCAATTATATGCTTTCATTGTGAACTCAGCCTATCTAAACTTCAGCATGACAAATTATGTAATACCCCAATATCTTCTTCCAATGCATTTCTGTGAAAAGAATACAGGATTGTCTTCTGTTTCTTCTGAAGGTAAAAATAAAGCACCCATATTCAATTTAACACAAAGCCAAATAAATCAACAAGTATCTATCATATGTTTAACAGGGAATATTTAGAAAAGTGATACTACTGTTAGGACAACCACATCAATTAGCATAGGAGAAGATAGTTTACCACATTTTCACATTGTTATTGTTTGCTGTTAGGTCAAGTCTGTGACAATCCACTGACCGAAGGTACAACAGAATGAAACACTGCCCAGTCCCTACACCATCCCCACAATTACTTAGCTGCTGGTACCACTATGCCAACCCATCTCATTGGGGGTCTCCTCTTTTTTGCTGACCCTCCACTTAATTAAGCATCATCATTTTGTAATACTGATATCTAACTTCCTAGAACTTGACTTCATTAATATTTCTAGCCATTAATATCCCAACACGGAAGTAAACGTCCAGTCAAAAATTACCACAAAATAAAAGCAATAAGAACACTACTATTAGTAATGTTTAGCAGTCACAATGCATATAACATTATTATTTATTATTGTTAAATAGTTGTGGGCAAAGCTCTATTCATTTTTTAACTTTTTACTGTGGCTTGAGTGAAGGCTCTAGTTCATTCTTAAGTTACAGAAACCATTTTATCACTGACTCTAGATGCTGTGGGTTAATGCGCCAGACTGTAAAACCGTTTGAACTGCAAGATTGGCGGTTCAAGCTTACCAGCTGCTCCTCGGAAAACCTATACAGGGTCACTATGGGTCAGAATCGACTCCATGGCACATAACCACCACCATTATAGTTCAATTAACAAGCAAAGGGTTTCTAAAATTCATAGCAGGGTTGTAACAGATTTTGGCTAAAAACCATATACAATTTCGGACATTAAAACTAGATCTTATCTACTATAAGGACCACACGTCTTACAGAGCTCTACGTTTTTCATTGACTTTATAGATATCTGTGATGGAGAGAGTTTTAGGCTCCACTGTCATTGGAGTAGAGTTGCTGGAGCTACAGGTGAGAATAACTAGCTAGGTCTGATGAAGTTAAGTGGCCTGTTCCCCACTGTGTTGACACAGCCAGCCAGAGACAGTGTGGATTCCAACTAGTTTTTTTCCATTTTATAGGAAGTCTCAACATTAGATAAATTATGTGACCAAGAGTATCACTCTCTCTCTTTAAATATACACAGGGATTTTAAGTTCTTTCTACTCCTTTCCCATCACCTTCTAATGGGAGGAGCTGAATCATGAAGGAGGAGGTTGGGTAGTAGGAATAGAAGTCACCATTCATAAGTGGAAAACTGGGATGTAATACCATCACCAAGTTCCTAGTAGTAGGAATTATGAATCACCTAGTTTGAGTTAAAAAGAAACAAAAGCACACTACTACATTATATCTAACAACTGAAATATTTTATCTAAGCTGTTTCCTCTGTCAGTTTTTAACACTCCTCGGTTTGTAACAAGTTTAAATAAACTTGACCTGCATGTCAAAGCAATATATAAAACTGGAGTCCTGGTGTGGCGCTGTGGGTTAATGCGCTAGACAGCAAAGCCGGTTTGAATCGCAAAGTCGGCGGTTCAAGCTCACCAGCCACTCCTTGGAAACCCTACACAGGGTCGTTATGGATCGGAACTGACTCGACGGCACTTAACAACAACATATGATAAAACGGAGTCCTGATGTGGTGCTGTAGGATAAGCACTGGACTGGTAACCACAAGAGCAGCGGTTCAAACCCACCACCTGCTCCTTGAAAACCCTATACAGGGTCGCTATGACGTAGGTTTCTACAGCACTCAACAGCAACAACAAATAATAATACAAATACATTCTAAACTTGGTAACGTACTAGTTTCCCACAAATAAGAAATGTATCATATGGTATGGGTTTGAAGTGCTTTCAGTGAAACACTTACAAACATTTTTAACTCATGGGAGAAAAAAATTAATGAAATAGGCAAGAGGCAAATGACCTGATCGTACGTAACCTTAAACACAGATATAAACACAAATATAAAAAAAGCGAGAAGGCCATCACTATTCAGGGAGCATAAGAGGTCTCCGCAAAAGGAGCGCTACGGGGGAGGAAAGGCTCTTTAGGGTCACCGGGCAATTCAAGAGCTATTGCTCGTGATTTCCGCATTCTGCAAACCTCAGAAGCTCGGTGTTGCGGCCAGGGCCATAAGCTGTGTAAGCTTCCTGTCAAGAGGATCCAGCATTTCTGCGTAATTCAAACACAATTGTTGGAAGAAGACAAGCTGTAAGACCCGTGGGGCGTGGAACAAGAAACCTGTACCACTGGCGATCGCAATCGCAGCAATGGGTGTATTTGCAGAGTGGACACCTTAGAAAGGCCCCATGAGGCTCAGGGCAGCGAGTCGGGAACCAAGCCCAAGTTGGGAGTGGGGAACGATGGGCGCGGGGCTCCCGGGCACCTGGCTCGGTGTGGCGCCCGACTGCGCGGCCCACGCTCCGGATGTACTCACAGATCCCTGCCCTGCCCGCCCGCCCGCCTGCCCGCGGCCGGAGCCCCTCACCCTGGTGATTGAACAGTCTCCAGATCCGGGTGAAGAGAATTCCCATTCTCGGGCAGCGGACCCCCTCTAATCCCCCGGGCCGCCTGGCCTCCCCGGGCTCAGGCTGAGGCTGAGAAGAGAGACGCGCCAGAGTCTCCGCCTGTGCCGCTGCTGCTCCTGCACTTGCCGCCGGCCCGCTTCCCGGGAACCGGACGGAGGCCGAATGCCAGGCCGCCCTGCCGCATGCGAGGCCCCGCCGCTGCCGCCGCGGCACTAGCCTGTCTCGCGGACATCGCCGCCGCGTTGTCTGACAGGAGCCTCGCCGGCAACCGTCCACCCCAGCTCCTCCCGGGCGGCTGCGGTGGCGGTGACCACGCGGGCGGGGAAGGCGAGGGGTGGAGCAGGGAAGGCGCAGGCGCCTGGCACAGTGGGCGGGGCCTGGGGAAGCTCGCCCGCTTGGGTAGAGTTTATAAGCTTAACGAGGCGGCTCGAGGGCCACGGGTGTAGACGCTGAGTTGGGGCTGGTGGCTTTTGATAGTTTATTGTTGTGTCCTTGCTGAGTTTTTTGTTTTGTTTTTTCGCTCTGCATTTTCGCCACAGAGCCTTAATGTAAATAAACATATGGAATGCCTAGTTCCCACACCTTCATAACAAAAGCAAATTCACTCTGATCTCAACAACCCTATAGAAAAGAATAGACTTGCTCCATTGCCTCGGAAACCCTGTACAGGGTCGCTATGGGTCGAAACCGACTTGACGGCACTTAACAATACAACAGTTGGGTTTCCAAGTCCTTGCCTTTCTCTGCGGAGCGACTGGTAGGTTTTGGCAGTCCAGTGCTTTAGCCATCGTGCTACCAGCGATCCTTTGTCCTTCATACACAAACAGACACTAACGCACAAGTCCCACATCCTGGATCTCAAAGCCATGATATTCCATAAAGGTTATTGAGAGAAGTTACCACTCATCTGTCAGTTTGTCTATTGTGGTGACTTGTGTGTTGCTGTGATGTTAGAAGCTATGCCACTGATATTTTAAATACCAACAGGGCCACCAATGGTGGCGTCTTAACGGAGCTTACAGACTAAAACCAGAACAAGGAGAAACAGACTACTTCTGAATGTTTAGTCACTGAAAACTTTAGGAATAGCAGTGGATTACAGTCAGAAGGCACCAGAAATCGAATACTGAAACGTAATGAAGAGCATCAGAATATTGTCAGATATAGTGCTGGAAGATGAGCCCTTCAGGTTGGAAGGCACTTAAAATACCACTGGGGGAAAGCCACCTCAATGAAATAAGAGTTGAACACGATGATGAGAATAGAGTAAAGATTTTGGGACCTTCATTTGCTGATGGTGCACAACTGAATAGGAGGATAAAAAGCTGTAAACATTGAAATACCTAAAAGGGGTACTAGAACTTGCCCAGTGAAATAGGCCTCCTGCAAAGCCTTTGCAGAGTATAGGACCTTAGGTGGAAGACTGAGTTCCATCCAGAACCTTCTGAGGTGAGATATCCCCACTAGCAAGGACAAGCAGACCAGCCTGGAACAGCTAGAGCAATAGATGATACATCTTCAAAGACAGATCAGCAGGAAAAACCCAAAACAAAAATGTCAGTGTGACTGGCTACTACAAGAATAAGCAAGCTGTTTGCTGGGAAGCCATCAAGGCAAGCAATCAAGTCCCTTCAGGACAACACCCCCACACCCCAAGACTGAAACTCAAAGGGAACACAAGAGCAGGCATGTAAGCTTGCTTGCAACCACATTGGTCTACTGCTGAGTGGAAGAGGGGGAAAGATAGCAGTGAAGAAATGGGCTAAGTTCAGCCACATTCCAGAATCCCATTGACCCGGAGATGAAAGAGAGAAGAGGAAGGGTTGGTTGGTCCAAAGCCTGGTGAGACCTGGGGACTCCTGAGCCCATAGACAAGGACATAGTCACAGAGGACTAGAGCTGAGAGTGAAGCATCCAGCTGATACGAAGTGAGGGGAGATGCACAAGAACACCCAGACTTGCAGATAGTACCCATTTGACCTAGCCTAGATGGCTTGATAATCAGAACTCAACTAGAGGAGGATTAAAAAAACAGAAAATGATTTTGATAAAGGAAACAAAGGTAAATTGCTACAATTTGATGAACCTGACTTATACTCATGGAAGTAGTAACTCTAAATACCAACAGAGAGGGAAGGAGTCTTCACATAAAGTATCAATGCTATCTCCTCTGTACACAGGGAAGATAGGGATGGACAACTTAGACATTGGCTACCTAAAATGAGGGGGCGATAGTGACTGGCTTACAAAGTTTCAAGAGGGAACTTAGTTTAATAGTGTGTGGAGAAAGAAAGAGTCCTCGCTGAATAGGTTTCATCTTATCTAGATGGGTCTGGTTAAAAGAGATGGGGATAAGATTTTTATGATTCAATAGAGAGTTAATTGTTATCATGACTAATTGTGACTGTCACAATTGTAAAGGTAGAAGTTTTGTAACAAAAACAGGGGAGTGGTTAATCTTATAGTCCAGAAACAAAGGACCCTAGGTGAAGAGCACAAGCAGAATGCGAGACCTTAATGAGAGAAGCAACACCAGAGATGGGGACATGGAGAGAGGGAACAGCTGAGGACTCTAGATTTATGTGAAGAGAGGGAGTAAGAGCTGGCAGCCAGGAGGCAGACTTGCAGAATAGAATGTGCCCTTTGGTGGTATAAATTATTATATTATGCCTGAGTATTTAAAAAAAAAAAGCTAAAGTGAATTTGTTGAATGTAAAACTGATCATCTGCCCTGTAAGCTTTCACTCAATCCACAATAAAAACCTTAAATAAATAAATAAATATAAAAAGCTGTAAACATCCATTAATAATCAGGACATGGAGTGTATGAAGTATGCATCTAGGAAAATTACAAGTTGTTAAAAATGAAATGGAAAACATAAAGATCGATATCCTATGTAATAGTGAACTGAAATGGACTGGTATTGGCCATTTTGAATCTCACAATCAAATTGGGAAGGAATGATGTCTCTTCATCTTCAAAAAGAACATCTCAGGATCAATGTGTAGGGTAATGTCCATGTCTACAAGAAAGACCAGTTAATACCACTATTACTCATATTTACATACCATCAACTAAAGACATTGATGATGAAATTGAAAAAACTCTACTACTTCTTCTGCCTGAAATTGATCAAACATGTAATCAAGATGTATTGATAATTGGTGATTGGAATGCAAAGGTGGTGAACAAAGAGGAAGGATCAGTAGTTGGAAAACACGGCCTTGGTGATAGACATGATGTTGGGATCACATGCTAGAAGTTTGCAATACCAATGTCTTGTTCATTGCAAATAATCTTTTTTAGGCATCATAAAAGATGACTATACACATGGCCCTGAACAGATGGAATACACAGAAAGCAAATGGAAAAGGTCCATATCATCAGCCAAAACAAGGCCAAGTACAGACTGTGGAACAGACCATCAATTGCTCATATGCAAGTTCAGGCTGAAGTTAATTCGAAGAAAATTAAAACAAGTCCACAAGAGTCAAAATAGGACCTTGAACATATCCCACTTGAATTTAAGAGATCATCTGAAGAACAGATTTGATGCATTGGACAATGAAGACCGAAGACCAGAGAGAGTTGTGGGATGACATCAAAAACATTATACATGAAGAAAGTAAAAGGTCATTAAGACAAGAAAGAAGGAAAAGACCAAAATGGATGTCAGAAGAGACTGTGAAACTTGCTCTCCAGCATAAAGATGCTAAAGCAAATGGAAGAAAAGAGGCAGTAAATAAACTAAATAGAAAAATTCAAAAGGCAGCTTGAGAAAACAAAGTCCAGTATTATTTAAATATACGCAAAGATCTGGAGCTAGAAAACCAAAAAGGAAGAACACATTCAGCATTTCTCAAGCTGGGGGAACTGAAGAAAAAATTCAAGCCTCAATTTGTAATATTGGAGAATATTGGCAAAATATTGAATGATGCAGAAAGCATCAAAAGAAGATGGAAGGAATATACAAAGTCACTGTACCTAAAAGAAATGGTCGATGTTGAACCATTTTAAGAAGTAGCATATGATCAAGAGTCAATGATACTGAAGGAAGAAGTCCAAGGTGCACTGAAGACACTGGCAAACAACAAGTTTCCGGGAATTGACAGAATAAAAAATTAAAATCTTGCAACAAACTGAATAAGCACTCGAGGCACTCATCTATGCCAAGAAATTTGGAAGACAACTACCTGGCCAACTGACTGGGAAGGATCCATGTTTGTGCCCATTCCAAAGACAGGTAACCCAACATAATGTGGAAGTCATCCGACAATATCATTTATATCTCATACAAGTAAAATTTTGC